GTTTGCTGAAATCAGTAGCTTTCAGTGTTTTGATTGAAACATAAACTAGTTTGTAGTTTATTGTTTTGGTGGGTGGTTTTGTAAATAGCACTTTTCTTGATTATAAAAACAAGACAAGTGTCCCTTCTTTATTGTATGCTCTGAATCTGGAATTGCTGAAAGCATTTATAGAGGAAAATGTCCTGAGCCATTTCATGTACTAAATTTTTTTTCTAATTGAAATAATGAAAACTCAGTTCAACTGGAGCTTTTTTTTTTCTCTCTAAAATACTTAATGAAACAGGATAGGCATGTGTTTTAAATTAAATAATGGACTTCCCTGTTGCCTGAGTACATTAAGAGCAACACCACAATGAAACATACAACTCAGGAAAGGTGTTATCTTCAGTGCTTTTCATTTGCAGCCACTAAAATTTGAGGAGTTGGTGAACTGCAACCTTGAAATATGAAAGCATGAGGCAAACTCACGTTCAATTAACAAAAAAAAGCAATTTTATTAGGATTATTAAAATATCTGAAACTGTCATCAGTCTTTCCATGAAAAACACATTTCATTGCTTTATATATTCATATTAAGCTTCCGTCTCGTTAAGATGTGTTTACCACCTTAAAAGAATCCATTCTTGTTTCTAGGAGAAGCATTATCAGCTTTCCCACCACTGTCAGATTCCTCAGCAAGCCGATCAGTGCCATGTTGTCCAGCCCTGCCAGCACTCCGAGCAGTCCCAAGTCACTCACCAGTGCCAGCAGACACAGACCAACAGCCCCTGTGAAATAATTCCAGTCTCTGTGAGCGACGACTGCCGAGGGAATACAGTGAGGAGGGTAACAGTGCAGACCTGTGAACCGGTAAGAATCATTTGTTGAATGTTTTACTATTCACAGTGTGTTTTTGGTTTGCATGCAGAATACAGAACTCTACAGATACATAAAATTGCTAATCCCAAATCTCAAAAGATTTTGTTCAAACTCATAGTAGAGTCTTTAAGCCCCTTTCACCCATTGTAGGTAAACAGCAGAGCTTGTGTCTCTGTTGCAGGTAACTTCTTTGGATGCTGTGATTGCAGACATTGTCTAGAACTGTCCAAGACTTTGTCACGTGCCGTTAAGGGGGGGGGAGGCTGCTTTAGGTGTTGTATCCTATTTCTTGGTGTAGATCTGTGCTTAATTGTACTGACTGATCGCCATTCTGTTGTCCTTTAAATGCATTAAGTCTTGCTTGGTTTGTTTGGCTTTTCTCTTTATTGGGGAGTGTTACCCATTGATTGAGTCGGGTTTCATCTGTCTTTGTACAACAAAGATTGAGTAATGTAAGGTCTATGCCTCTAGTTTTGGAGAAAAGATACATTACTTTATGAACTGGACATGTATCAATTCAGGATTGCTTTCTATCTAAACTCATCAGTTAGGATTTCAAATATACTTTAATTTGATGTAGACGTATTTGACATAGACTCATTGGAAGTACAAAACTAGCTTCCTTTGCCCTTCCTTTTACACCAGGTTGCAAGTTCTGGAGTTTGTAAGGGCTGCAGGAGGCTCACTATACATGTACGCTATTATTTCAGCTGGGGGAGGGAGGGTAGTAATCCTCCTATGCATCTATTCAATATATAGGTGGCAAGACAAACATACTTAGTGACCTCAGTGTTAGAGCTATGCGGAATCTTCCATAGCCAGATACTCCCGTAAACCAACTTAGGTACACTGAGTTTGGGTTGCTGTTTAAATTCTTTTATTGTTCACATATGTAAACATTTGAACTGTGTCAACACAAATACCATTTTTGCAGTGGGGAATCCTGTACTCAGCTGGTTTTATCTGGGTGCTGCCCACAGGCATTTTATCCACTACAGCCAGGGAAACATGTATATTAATGAAAGATTTCCTAATTCTCAACACTTTCTATATGAGAATAATGATGATGATATTGTTGTAGAAGAGAGTACTTAGCGTATTTCTTGTTGTTGTAAAGAAAGTAATTTATTTCTGGACAGTTTGCTGAAAGCCGGAAGACATGGAAGCCTCAACACCAAGGAAAAGATCGGTGTTAACAAATTGCAAATTAGTGAGAGCAAACAAAACCAGAACCATCATACTTGAAACATTTTCATGTTCAGCTTTCATTCCGAAGACGGGAACTCAATTACAGTCTTCTTGCATACCTTCTGCTAGGTGAATTGCTCTCAGGAAAATAATGACCAACTGGACTGTCGCTACTTTGGTGAGCTTCTTGCTGAACTGAACCGCAAGACCAACGACTTGTACAGCTGCTTACTACAGCATGTGGAGAAGATAGGAGGAAGGTATTGGCATTGTATCTGTTCTATCATGTCAGTGCTCTGGAAGCCCTAGCATTGCACTGGTGCGAGGGCAGTACTGTTTGCAAGTTGGCTTGTTTTTCTTTTTCTGACTGGAATCAACTGTGTATTTTACACATTAATCTAATTTGCTGAGTAATTGAGGACATAAAAATGCTGTAAGACAAGTAAATTTATTGAATTTGATGCTTTTTCAAATTGTTTAGGCTAATACACAGTAAGAATTAGGTATCCCACACCTGTCTGTGTGTAGTGCAAACAAGTATACTTACAGCATGCTCTGACATATATTTAATGATAGTTTTATGATTACATCCTTAAGAAACAACCCAAACATCCAAATTGCCATTTGCTTTGTTCTGTCACGGTGTTATGTCATGGGTTAAATGATGGTTCCCATAAGGCATAAAGCTCAATATCTACATACAAATTAATGTTAAGCGCATATTCTGCAGAGCCCTATGGATTGTCTTTGAAAAGAAATGCAGCAGCCAGTAAACCGAGTCCTCACAATGTTCTCACCCTTCTGTCACCATCGCTGCGGCTTCATTCTTCCCCCCTCATTCCCTGTTGCCTTTGGTGCTTTCCAAGTTCACTGAAATAAGAAAAGCAGTCCCACAGCAGGGGAAGAGTGGAATTTAAGCATCACCAAGAACCTGATACTGCTAAGTAAACACTTCAGGCATGTCAATATATTGCAGCATAGTTCTCGGTAAACCATTACCCAGCCAGTTAAGAATGTAATTGGGTTAACCCAACACAACTGGGATAACCGCCCAAAGGAACGGAGATAGTTAGCCCATGTTAACTGTACTGCTGTTAACATTCATCTCCTCGGGTATTTCTGTTATGGAGTCACATTTAACAACTCGTGTTGCCTTGCACCTTAAAAGGAAGGTTACAGCTCTTAATCTGATGAAGAACCTTCCTTGCTCCATAGTTTAAAGATAATATTTTTATAGTTGTCAATGTGGGCATGAATTCTTAATGTTCTCAAGAAGCTTTCTGTTAATTGGTCCCTTGGATTTTGTCTGTTTTGCAGGAACCATGACATTGAATTTACGTGTCAGGTAAGCATCAGGCACGCTCTTAGCAAGCTGTTCTGTGACATGTAGTGTTAACAACAATGGTGTTGGATCTTCAAGGAAATTAAGCCAAGCCAGTTTAAATGAAGGATGTTGGTCTTTGTTAGTTAATGATTCCTGCTTGTTACTAACACTCAGAGCCTGAAACCTACTGCTAGGCATGTATTTGCAAATGTGAGAATACTGAAAGGAAACTTTAGTAATTTGCATTATTCCAATATGAGAGTCAAATTTTGAAAGTCTTTCCTGTTTTATTGTAAAACAAACTTAACACAGTGACATGTGTTTTCACTGTGCGTTTTTTGTGAAAGATCTTTCACGCTCTTGCCACTAAAGCTGCTCTTCAGCAACGTGTGCTGCCGTGCACTGCAGGAGGTGAATACTGCCTCTTGCAGAAATAAGAGGAACGTAAGCTGACAGAACAGACTTCCTACGTCTACAGAAAGCTCACTTACGCGAATCAGGCCATGACAGAATCATCAGCACTGCTGTTATTTTCAAAGGCATTGTGTATATGTCTAGGATTAAATTACATGAAGCAATGCCACTTAGTCACTGGCAGTATCTCCTGTGACAACTGGTCATCATTAGTTTATTGACTGTTCTTGGTTTAGAAACACAAGATTTGTGTATCACAAACTGCTGGGAGTTCTGTTTTAGCATCAGCTGTTATTTTCTTGAGAGAGGAGTGCTTTGAATACTGCTTTTAAAATAAATGTTAAACTCAAGGATTTGAATATATGCTTCATGTATCTCTTCATCTCAGTTTTTATATGCCACACATACATAAGACTTTGGAATTTTTCTGGATACACTTTGATCTATTTTCATTCTTATTTGCCTTGTACTAAACACGTTTTTCATAGTAGACCCATGTAATTAATGAAAAAAACAAGTTATGATCTACCAGGCAAAATTCTTAATCAAGATGTCTCCCCTTTCCTCCCTTCTTTGCTTAGACTGAAGATATTGAAAATTTGATTCCCAAAGGACTGTCTGAGGCAACAAAGCAGCAGATTCGTTATCTCCTCCAGGTACGTGAGTGGGGTGGAGGGGGTGTGTAGAAACCTACAGTAACTTGAAACAGTGGAAGCTGCCTTACACATACCAGGGATTTTGTACATAACATACTTCACTCTGTGTTCTGCTTATTCCATCTTTTCTAGTGTAACGGGTATGGAATCATACAGGTGGCTCCAAGTGACACGTGGCAGCTGGTTCCACAGACTACTTGTGTATTTTAAACTGAGCTTTACTGGGGCTTTCTTGCAGTTCACTGAAAAGCATCTTGACTTTTGACCAATCCTAGGAGAACACAGATCTTTAATCTTTTTATTTGTTTGTGCGGTATATTAATGCTTTACTGTAAAAACTAAAGGCAAATGGTAGTGCCTTACTGAATGTCGATGTGGATATCAGTTGCCAACTACATGTAATGCTTGTAACTTAGGTCTCGCCTTCTGCAAACGTTCTGGTTCAAAACCTCTAACATAGCACTAAGTTCTGAGGCATGCTTATGACACTCAGTAACAAAACATAACCATTTCTGGTTTGGTTCCATTTATAAATGGCTTTTGTGTTTCTCCTGATCATTTTCTTTAGCTACCCAACCATTTCTACTTGCCTTTTCAATCCCCACCCACGTGGGTTTGGCTGTAAGGCAGACAGAAGTGCAAGGTTCTGATAATGGTTGTTTATTCTGTTGCTTCCTGGCACTGTAATACTCTCTGCAGTGTGTTTTTTAGAAAAACACTTGACCTCTTTATGAAGTGCTTTGAAAACAGCTGACTGGAATTGGCCCGTGCCTTTGACTGAACATTAAAACAGCGCTGTAGTATGACTCCCACTGACCACTCCAGAACCATTCGACGTGTAGGTATGTTAGAGCAGGATCCAAAACAACCTGCGCTACCGGATTTTGTCAGCATACATACACAGTGTGCTCTCAGCCTACAGACCCCACAGGCCTCTCGGAGAGTTGTGTGTGGTGTTTTTATATCCGAGAAGGCCTCTGAGCGAGCTGTCAGCTGCTCAGTAAGGACTGTGCTGGGTGTGCCCAGAGGCTGAAGTCTAAGAACAGGCGGCATTTCACGGTACAAGTACCAGACACCTATGGAATTCAGCAACCTCTAGCGCTAAGTAATTGCGGAGTGAGGCGTTACTTACATTTTTATAGTCTAAATTAAACTATTTTGATTTAATTCCTTTTAATCTACTCCTGTAGTGTATTTCACAATAAACTCAACAAAACAAGATGTCAAAACTGAAATTCCACTTTAATTAAAAAACAAACAAATAGGTGAGTTACACTAGAAATGTTATTTTTTTGAAGCCTCAGCACATAATCACACCAGTGGGGATAAAAAATACGACAAGGGCTAATCACCGTATTGACGAAGATCTTGATAGCCTTCTTCAGTTTGAATGATCAGCAAATTCCTATTTTAACACATAACTTTTAAGGGAAAGTAGCAGAGGAAGAGAAACGGACAGGAGGATTTAATTTTTGTCTGGACAGTAAAAAATGCATCTTTTGCATAGAATATTCAGCGCTTCCAGATAAGTCAAAACTTCAGGAATCATTTTATGTGTTCTTTCAAAATCTGTATTTCTTCATTCAAGTATTAGAAATGTATGCTGAAATGCAACAATTTGTGTTTTAACATGAATCAATACAGAGCTGTTAAGATGTAGTTAAAGGAAGAAGAGAACAGCGTTACACTGCTGTGCACTACAGCCTGTCTTTTTCATCCAGCTGACTCCTTTAATCTTCGGGATCTTTTTCCTTTAAAGGGAGGAGTGGGTTGTATGGCTTTATTTTTTATTTAAATTTTAATTAAATTCTCTTGCCCTTGGGCTGAAAGCGTGCTTTGCCAGATCTTAAAGATGGTGACTCATTCCTCTGTGGCTTCTCAGGTAGGGTAGTTATTTTTCAAAGTAAGTCTCGGTCACAAAGCTCTGAACGGTCAAAAAGCAATTGTGCAGCATTAACACATTTATTTTTTCCCTTTATTGGTGTACAAATGCAGTTCTTTACTCTCTTGTTCCTTCCGTTTTAAAAATGGTATCCTGTGTTACAAGGCAATAATTAAAATACTATGCCATCTGCAGAACAAAGTGCATGAAAACATGTTTTTTGTAGACACTGTGGGCACTTCAAAGAATGACATGCAGTAGTTCCAAGAGTGAAGTTATTTTCAGCTGTTAGCAGTTTTGTGTTCTACCCATTGTCAAGCGTATTGTAAACAAAGCACAGTAATTAATCAGAAGTATACATTTTCATTTTTTTCCCTCCTAGATGAGAGTGACATCAGATAAATCTTTGAGACTTGTGCTTTCCACTTTCAAAAACTTACGTGAAGAGCTCTGCCATTTGCAGGATGACTTGGGGGTAAGCCACATTTTTCAGTTCCCAGAGTCTCATCCATTTGTTCTCAGCTGGCAGTAGGAAGTCCATTACGATGAAATTTCCATTGTGAAGTCCAGGCTTTAGGTGCTTTAATGGCTGGTTTATTAATTGCCTTGCAAGACTGATACAGTGGATGAAGTTAGATTTCTTTCTAGGGGTGGTTTTCAAGTGTTCAATTTGTTGAAGCCTAAAAAATGAAATACTTTGAAAGGAAGAAAAGGCTCTGCTAGTGAAGGTAGATTAAAGCTTTGAAATGGTACATACAATGCAGATATGTCTACACAGGTGTAGATGTACGGAACTGTGGTTTTACTTTTAACGAGGACAAGACGTATACACCAGGTGCCTATTTGCTAGCGCTGTTGCAGGAATGAGGAGACTTCAGTTCCATTCTCTCCTGACCAAGTTGTATTTCCCGCTTCATAGGAAAGCTCTTGTCAACTGGTGGCTTTAACAATTCTAGAGGTTCTGCAGGGTACAGGCAGCTCAGTTGGGAACCCGGAGCTCTACAGCTGCTGAGACAGACAGTACATAATTGCCGTTAGGAAGGCAGAAGCATTTCCCACACCAGCCCAAGTACTCGGCACCACTGGAAACTTCACAGCATTTTCGGGTGAAATGCAAAGTTCAGGGAGGGAAGAGGGAGTTTGAACTGTCATCTTTAACATAGAACAAGAAGTCTGTGCAGTGAAGTGCGTCTTAGTTTTGGGTGACAGATACTATAGTCATGGGCAGCTGTGTGCCACGTAGTTCAAAAAAGGTGTTTCAATAAAATGGAGTATTTGCTCAGTTCTAAGCCATCACTTACTCAGTATGTTGCACTTTGAATACAGGAAAAGTTAACTGAAAAACTGCAGCTATTGACTGTAAACACTTTTGTCTTACAGAAGTTAGAAACCGAGAGTGTCTTACTTAAGAAGGATTTGGCTTTTAAAGATTCTCAAGTAAAAGAATATGAAACTATGTTGACTTCTCTGAGAGAGAATAATCGTCAGCAGCAGGTAAATCCAAAAAGGTTATTTCCAGCGTAAGTAAAAAACTAGCCAGTGCGCTGATTTCGGAGTATTCTGAGTAACTGCTGCCCGGTGTATGTTTGTGCATGCATGTGACGCTGTTGTTTCCTTAAGGAACACCGTGCATTCATTCCACTTTTGTGCTTTCCAGCAAGGACTCAGAGAGAGTACTGCAAAATGCCGCTCTCTGGAAGAACAGCTCCTCTCTCTTCGGCTCAGTGAGGGAGAAAAGGAGTGTCAGCTAAAGGAACTGGAGTACTGCAAGCGTGCCTTGGAGCAAGAGATCCAGAGCCTTCGACTACAGGTAACAGGCTCCCTTGATACTGATGCATTAATGAATGAAAATTAATGATGAAAACTCTCTTCTTAAAAAAAATATTTCATTTTCTGTAGACCTGCTCTAATCCAACACTACAGACCACCACAGATGAACTCTCTAGCCGTTACGTAGAGATGATCAATAACTTGAGAGAGGATAAAGATCGTGAGATCCGCAATCTTAGGGTAAGTTGATTACCTTGGCATGGTGCATTCCTCACCCTGTACGACTGCAGGCGAACAGCTTCTTTTTAATTAAGGAACAGGAAAGATCTACTGTATGTACTTTCTAGATATCTTTTGGTTCTGCAGTTACTTTACACATAGACACTAAAGATGGCTCAGAAACCCTTATGGTAGAACATAAAACTGTGATTTAAAAAAAACCAAACCACAATTCCTTAGGAATTGCCCCAAATTCTATTTAATACGGGTACAGGAATCAGTATCCTATCCTGGGTCTCCTGTCTGATGACTACAAGGTTACATCACCTGTCAGTAAATCACAAACTGTTGTAATTGAGAGGACTGGAGAGATACGTGATGTAGGAATTAAGGATTAATCAGATTAACAGTCTTTCCTAAAAGGGTATTTTGTGTGTCCTGATAAAGTAAGGAACTAGCTAAAAGACACCTAACAGAAAGCAAAAATACATCCCAGTCAAAAATGTATGTAGGAAACATCTCTCGTTTAAATCACTGTAGTAATAGTTTACCCCCCTGGTAACTTGTTTGGTGGTATATTAGCTTTATCGAGTTATAAAACTAAATTGATACTGGGTAGCATTCAGTCCACTTAGCGCTTTCTGAATGTACTGTGAAGCTCAACGTTCTTACTTAGAAATCATTGGGTCCTACTGTTCATTATTTTAATGAAAAAAAAACCCCAAATGTCCAGAATCCTACATAGATACTGAAAGGTCACCTGCGAGGAGCACCCAATACCTGACTATTCCTTAACGTATGTTTTATAGTCTCAGTTATGCCAATTCCAGCAAGATATATCACAGAGAGAAGGAAGTAACAGCGACTTGCAAATAAGGTTGCATGAACTGACGTCAATGTTGGAGGAGAAAGAGGCTTTTATTAAACAACAGCAAGAGGTAAAATAATATGACTTACTTCTCTTCTAAGAATTTTTGTATTTAACCCTCCACTTACTGTGTAGGTGGAGACTTCCTAGGAAGTCACGTGTACTCTCCTGGTTCAGGATTTTTTTTTACCTGACTCCTTTTGCTCTGCCAGTCTTTTGGAAGGACGGACTTTTTCAAACTGCTCTTTGAGAGGAATTTCTGCAAATATTTTGTTGTGACTTTAGTGAACTAATACTTCAGAAAACATTATTTCATTTGAATGTTTACTTTTGGTTTTCTCAGGACCTCTTCAGATTGAAGCATGAGAAATTATCAGGCAGTCAGTCCCCTGGTGTAACAGCTATCATCACCAAGAAGTAATGTAGTTATTCACCATTCTTAAAACTACACTCTTTCAATTTTCCATAGTATATAGCCTCTGCTACCCAAGATCTCGCCTCCTGAAAATGTCTTTATACTGCCTGTTCGATTTAAAGGGGAAAAAGTCAAGATAGGCTTTCCTATCCGGGGAGGATTCAATACTAAGCATTGTAAGAGCAATGGGAGGGGTGGCCAGCGCCTTAAAGTGGCATTTAAGTGACTGCATTAGCTTTTTAGGTACTAGTGAAAACCTTTGGGGGTTAAGACTGGCAGGACTATGTGGGAAGATGAGAGTTACTGATCTGGATACAGTATGCAGACTTCAGCTTACAGGTTTGCAACTCTCTTTAATACAGGTACAGGAATCAGTATCCTATTCTGGGTCTCCTGTCTGATGACTACAAGGTTACATCACCTGTCAATAAATCACAAACTATTGTAATTGAGAGGACTGGAGAGATATGGAAACATGTAAGTTTACCTACAGATTGAGCATTCAGTCTCTGAACTTCCTAAGTATTCAATTCAACTTCAAAGAATGTATTGGCCAAAACTGACAGCTGAGAGAAAAAGCCATAGTGTTAATTTAACTTGGCTGCAAAAAGCAAAGAGTGAGTGATTAAAGTGAAGGAACTGTACTGTCTATTGCAAGAGGGCAGTAATTGTTGGGTGGAGTATGAATAAAGTAACCTTTTGTTGTCTTCTCTGATGCATAATTACCTTTAACAAAAGAAGTGGCGTTGCTGGAACACCAGCCTCTGCCCTGCTCAAGGTGGTCTTACAGACATCACTGTACTGGGACTTCTTCCGTGTTGTGCTCTCAGGTGAAGGAGTGTTTTAAGTGGGCAGTATTCCTGAGTCACTGGTATTAATGCCTCCAAATGATGACTACACCATACTAAGCACCATGTCCCTGAAACTTACAGTGAGATGGGGCACTGACTAACTCAGGAAATGCAGAAGAGTGGAGACTTTTTAAGGAGTGATTCAAAGTAAAAATACAGACTAGGCCTGCAGGAGCTGTTCGTGTTACTGGGCTCAAGGCAATGTTGCTAAGCCTGAATACAAGGTAGAGGCTGGAGAAAGATCAACATGGCCAATTCACAACCGCGTGTGGAATGGAATGGAATGGAATCTGATGACGCTGTCTGCAGAGAGAGTATGGCAGAGCAGCACCAATAAATGAGTGTTAAGAGAGTAGCTTTGTGGGGGATGTGACCAAGAAAAGACAATTACGTGAGCAGCCTGAGCAGACGACAGGCACACTCTAAAAGGGTACGTTACCTGGAGCAGGATTACGAAACGAAAAGGTAGAGGTCACTGGCAAACAGCAGAGTTTTATTACTGATCTCTCAAACTCATCCAGTTGCATTGCAACCTAGTGAAACATCCAGGAATTAAACAATAAAGAAATTACAAAAAAAAAGCCAACCCCGCCGCCTTCTTAGTTTACTTGAAAAGTCAGTCATACTTTCCATTATAAAAAATGGAAAAGATGAGTGTACTCTGCATTTGAAGAGATCAGTATCATTAAATAAATTAGAACTGTCTGCAAGTTTCCCAAGCTCTCCATCATTCACCACTCCAAGTTTCAGCTGAAACAAAATTACTCTGCTGCAAGATAAACTTAGTAAGTGTGAGAAGTGCCAATTTCATCTTTGCTCCAAGCTTCACAAGTAGTACTTCTGTGTTTCTGTACCGTCAGCCCAGTCTTTATCTCTGCATTCATTACTGAATAGTAATGCCCACAGGTATCTGCACAGGGCGGGTTTTATACTGAAAATAAGTAAGTAGCCTGCACACAATACTGTCTTTCAAGCAATGATTATTTGTCATGCTCAATCCTTCGGGATACTCAAATGAAAGTATTTAAATATTCTTTGTAATGCTGATTATTAGTTATATTAGAGAAAACTTGTAGGGTAGAAATTTTGTAATATCCACTATTTAGGTATAACTTCCTGTTCTTGGTTGTTTTCCTAAGTACAAAAAAGCGGCTGTCCTGGGTTTTGCGTTCCCTGGCGACAGTGAATCATGCCAGCTCTGACATCTGCCCTTGCTGAAGAAAACCGTTTACAACTTACTGATATGACTTTGACCTTGCTAGTACTGGTTGCTGGGAGCGCTGACGCACTCAGCGTTTGTTAAGGAGGAAAGGCTCACTGGCCACTTGAGACACTTTAAAAATCATGCTCTTACAGAAAATAAATATAGAATTAAATGAGGCGTTCTTTATATACCAGGCGCTTTTGTTTTATATACAGAAATAAGTTTGTCTAATTTCTTCTAACAAGCTGCTTGTTTCTTACAGGAATGAAAGAAATCCCTAAGCCATCAGAGCTGCTCAAAGGAGTTCACGATGACTAAAATTGCTTTACTTCCTGCTGTTTTGCATCCAAAAAAGGTTCGGTCTGATAGTGAGAAAGGCTGGGGAACACATCAAGGACATGGAAGCACGAAGATGATAGAAAACACTGTTTCATCCTCACCATGAAGAACTCTGTTACCTCTGTCTATAATCTGCCACTAACAGCTGTGTACAAATGTTATTTGTACATTTTCACGCACTTACATTTTGCTGGGAAGAGAGAGGTGTGCTGTGCTTTCGTGGACTTCAGTTTTTCTTGACATGACTAACTTCTACTCTTCAGCCAGTCCTGAAGCAACCTGAAAGACAAAAGGAAGTCTGAAACCTTTTCCTTTTTGTACTATTCGCCCTGTTCTGTCCACCGATCTACTTATGCTGAGAGGTGAGAATATTAGAAATTTAAGTCTGGCACATACTGGTTGGCTGGTTTCAATACAGATTCCCGTTTCATGTACTGCTGCTGATTGAAGATGAAGCAAACCCCAGAAACAGCCTTCATGGGGAACTTAAAAAAATACCTCACTGAAAACCGCTTACACCTGGCAAATTATGTAACTTACTCCAGGTACACAATTCCTCAAACTCAACCTACTGAATTGGCAAATACCAGACTTGACTTACCCAGTTCAGTGAAATGACTGGGCAAATGCTAATTTTGAAGAACGTTATTGACCTCAGAGCTGATGTATTTTCACCTGAACCTTTATAAGCCCCCAAACCAGCCAGAAGTATTTATTTGCTGTGCTTGAAAATTTGCAGAACTTGGTATATTTTTTTTATAGATAAACTTAGTTTGAAAATAGCTCACAGACTAAATTTCATTATCAGACCAACCTTCCATTTACAGTTTTTGCTCCTCACAGGACCACAGAAATTATCTCAAAATTATTTGGCATTAATAATTACATAGTTGTCTAAGCAACACAGTGCAGAGAATCACAGGGGAAATTCTAACTATGCAATCAAAAGGTGCTAGCTCTTTATCGGGGTTCTTGCTTTGCTTTATTTCTGCAGACATATATTTCTAGTCACAAATAATATATATCATAGACAGTGTTTACTGGTGAAAGAATGCTGTAGGCTATGTGTAACTATGAAATAAACCTAAATGTAACTTTACGAATCATGTCTGTCTGTACTGGAAACATCTCCTGTCTATGCGATTGGCTGGAGGGGGTTGTTTTGAGAGGTGTAATACTGCCTTGTTTTAGACAACTTGTTCCTCTAAATGGATGTTTGCAAGCAAAGGAATAGTGTTAGGTCGCTTTTCTTGCTACTGATGCGAGTCCTCCGCTCAGTTAATGCTGGGATGTTGAAGATGACCTCACGCTCTTCATAACGGGGAGGAAGAGCCAAGCATAAAACCTGCTCCCTGCACTGCTCCTGAGCCTGTCCGGCCTAAGATGGACGACCTGCAGTGTCAGAAGGCAACTAAGAGTTTGTACCATCAAACAACAATCACTTTAGCCTAGCTTTATAGAAAGAGATTTTAATTAGCTAAAAATTAAATATTGTCATTTGAATGAGGCCCCTCTGAAATCAATAATTATTAGATTCTAAAATAACTAACTGCCTCATTTCTGTAGAGCAGTTAAATGTAAGGTACATGTACATTAGGAGTTAACATACTAATGACACAGAGTAGTGTCAAAGTATATTCTATCCCAATAAACAATTTAAGCTACACTGTCATCTAATGACTTTTACCTTTGGTGACTTACATGATAAATAAAGAAGAAGAACACCACATTTGTCTAATGCCATCACACTGCTATCTGTGCATAACTGTGCAGTTATCCCGACTGAAGGAGACACAAAATAGTTTGCTGACTTACTGTGGTATTTGCCATGATCTCAGCGGGGCTTGACTAGTTGGAAGCATCACACGAACAGCTCGGAAGAAGCTATGAACAGCAGAAACGTGAGCTATTAATGGAAGTACTGTGCGCTCATCTCAGCCCTTGCAAGGGCTGTACAGTGTAGTTAGTTACTCACCACGCCATCCAGTAACACTAACCAACGTTTCTGTAACTCCCTGTGCCTCAAGACCATGCAACAGCATTAACGCAAGCAGTAAATGCCCTTAAAAGACAGAAACGTGCAGGCTCTGAATGGTCGGAGCTGCTGGGCATGGTGGTCTAATTTATGACAAAAGCCATGATTAGGCAAATGAGCTGTTTCACATGTACACCTGGTATTATGGTAAATTTGAAAACCCCGTGATTGTTCTCCATACCTGAAGAGGTGCGTAGCATACATACAGCTTAAAAAAATAGCCCAGTTTGCTAATTAGGAAAGACAGATGTCAATACAGTATTGTGCAGCACAGATCAGCTTCTCTAAGCTGTGCTCATTAAAGTATTTTAAGACTTCTGTACACTGTAAATGCTACAGAGCCGACTGTCGTTAACACCACATTTTACTCACAGACAACATGAAGCAATAGATCATTATAAAAAAGCTGAATTAGACCAGGACATGAAGCACAGTGGCCATTTGGGGCTGGTTTTGATTTCAAACGAGATTTATTTAAGGAACAAATTTTTAGTATTATTAACTAAATTATATTAAGTATTTTATTTGCTGTAGCCTCATGTATTGCCTCTTTCCTGTTGAACTGAAACTGATTCACCTAACATCACTTCTGCTGCAGTTTACGGAAACACATTTTTCTCATTTACTCATCTCTGTAAATCCTAGTTATCACCCTAATTACAAACTGTACACAATTTTTCCCCTCAGTTTCAGGTAGGTCCACTGACACTTCTACATTTTTTCAGGCAGACAGCATTTACTTCCTATATTTAGAACAACTTACTTAAAGACATTCTTAGTAGGGCAGTTACCAATAGTTTCACTAAATAAACTCCCACGGCCTAAACAGATTTGATACCATGCAGAGTTTCTTGTTCTTACACTGAAGAACAGGAGAAAATTGTCTTCCGATTTCTATTACTGACCTTCCACACAACTCAGTATGCGCTACGGAACACTGTACCTGCCTCAGCAGTAAAATAAAAGCCAAATACAGCCCTGGTTCACAAGTGACTGACACCGCAAGCATTTTCTGAACAGTCGACACAGGCTTTGAGTTCTACATCAAGGTAACTTACCTCTACCTTGAGAGTACTCTCCTGGTGTTCTTCTGTATTTTCTCTCTCAATGTTATTACCTTTAATTGTGGACATTTGAAACCTGAAGGGGAAAAAAACCCAAAACAGATGATGATCAAGACATGAGTCATTTTTAACTGCTCCTGGCTTTTGGCGATTTCTTAGTCTGGTCATTCAAATAAAAAACCACAGCAAGCAAATCTGACATTTTAGAGCCACCCTTCCACGTGTTTGTGAACCTCGCTGCTTGCTCAAGCAACCAAGATGTGTTTGTGCATCACATACAGCACCGCGGGAGCAGGCAGAAAAACACAGTCAGGAACAGCTGAACGATCTCTATGCTGTGCTCCCAGGCAGGGAACAGCTTTACAGCACACATCACCTTTCCCACTCCTGGTAGTGTGAGGTGGCATCCTATCGCAGATGCTGGGAAAGGTAATTCACCCTATTAGTGTTGCTGTAGGGACAGATTTGGAACAATCTGACAAGCAAAGACTGTTTTCAACAAAACAGCTTCAAAGTCCTCACTGAAAATGTAGCAAAAGACAAGACATACATAAACTTCACTAAGGAAAGCATGGATGCATGAAAAAGATCATGTCTACTAAAGAGTACCTTGAAAAGAACAGAGATCATGCAACTTCACAACGATGACAGAAGACATCATTCAGAGTTTTCAGTACAAGTAATAAAATACGATACCACCAACTTTTACCATTCAACACTTAAGTCAGAAGACCTGCAAGGCTTACGGGTGGTGGTAATGTCTCTCCTTCACTTGCTTCCTACCACCGCTTAGGAACTCATCAGCTTTGAAAATGAGTAAGTGGGACCTGCCTGTAGAGCACTTCATCCCATCCTAAAGGCTTCATCAGTTTGGATAACAGAAGGTGGTTTGCTGCCACCTCAGGGGAGGGAGCCAGGCAGGGTAGAAGTACAGACTATAGGGAGCAAGGATCTGTGGAAGTACTGAGATACAAGAATTTTACTGCAATTGGACACGGTGCACTTTTAAAATCATGACACCTCCATGGTAAAAATAAAACAGCCTAAAACAGCCATCACTAATTCTCTTAAATATTTACTAGGAAAGTGCACTGGAAAGAATCTAGGAACTGTGCCTCAAACTGCTGAGGATTCAGGTAAAATTTTATTCTTATATTTCAGAAGATTTAAAATACCACTTCCCACTTACATCAAGAATACCAACCAACCACTTGCTTTAACACAGCATTTCAGTTACCGGGGGAACACAGTTATAGGAAAACAGAAGGGGGACAAAAAAAAAAGATTCTACCCGAGTCTTATCTTCTATTGGATGATTACGTACACAAGATACATAAAAAGATCGTAAATTACTCAAACAGCACATGCAAATTAAGAGCGTTGCACATAATATCACTTCCTCTCAGGTTTTTCTTTGTCTAGCAGGCACATTCCTCTATTTTCCCTTCCCTGTCCCCAACTTCTACACCTTTTCCTCCACAGCCCCCACGTCACACCTGCAGCACATTGCACAGGCCTTTTCTTGTCGATTCCTTCCTCCTTCCATCCATCACACGATTACTTTTTTTTTTTAACCACCAGAGCCCTCCTAACAGCTTCAACCCCCTCCTTTGCCTATTCACCATCCAGCTTGGACAGTTCCAAGAAGCTTCAACGTCCACACTTACACAGAAAGATGTCAATTCTGGAAGAAGGAGCAGAAGCACTGGTGGGAATTTCAAACCAGTCCAGCCTCAAGTCATCAACTTCTAAGCAGCACTGGACAGAACCAGCAAAGGGCCAAGTAGAAGCACACGCTCTCCCAACAGTATCATAAGCTACTGAATTTTAAAACCATCACTCAAAAGTCAGACCAACTTATTTTTTTAAACTGTTTGAAATTTAACAACATACGGGTAGCAATTCATTAACCTTAACACTGCGTGGGTTAAGTCTCAAGGCTTTCCCTCTCTTTGACAGACCTCGTTTCCTTGTCTTTCTTCTTAGCTCGGTTTCATTGTCCATGCGCTGCCAAGAGAAGAAGAGGCAAACAATTACTATAAAGAAAGGGATGTTCAAAATGCTAATGCAATAAGCCAACCAAAGAAAAGCGGTAACTCATCTTGAGACCTCACAAAGGACAAGGCTGCCTGTAACCATCCTGCTAAGTTGAACACCTCCGTTTCTCCACCCAGCCATCACACGCAGCAGGGCTCACACGCGGAAGATTGCACTAGTCTGCACCTGCTCCAAGTCCTAGATACGTTCCTGTATTCGTACCGTAGTTGTTAATAACCAACAGCATGTGTAGTTTTTCCAACCCTTATTCCCTCCCTCACATTTTGAAAAACATGTTCCTCACAGATTTTAATGTTCCAAAAGATATGACTTTTTTTTTTTCCCCAATTAAAAAGAAACCTCATTAGGTGGACTTATAGACTGTTAAACCTCAATACCAACTTCAACTTCCGTAACACAAAGTTACAGAACTTCATCATTCTATAATATAATGATGAAGCTGTAAATGAATGAAACTTTTATCTAGCATATACTTCCTGCTAACATTAAGCATGTTACAAAAAACTTCTGTGCCCTTTACAGTATGTAGTTTTACAGCAAGAAAAAACTAGATGCAATAGAAAATCTAGGTAACGAACCTGATGCCCCACAGTGTACCGTGCTCCTAAGAACAGAAGATACCATTCACCGACTCTGAGCTAAACAAACTCACCAAACAAGCAGCTTACACTAAGCAACTGTTCATCACAGAAAGAATTAACCCACATACCTAATATGTATAGGTATGTATGATATGTAAAGGTCAAAGCCTTTCACTGCACTCCTTGGAAGAAACATTACAGTTATCCTCAAACATGCCTTGTAAAACGTAAACGTTAATACAGGTCACCAGTAAACACCATGTATGAATAACAACAGGTATCAAAATATGATGTGAATGCAATGCCTAAAGGCATTATGTTCAGATTTCGTACTGCTGTCTAAAATGCTGACTCTCCAGAAATTTGATTTCTGTCATTCCTACCCCCCACATTGTGTTCTGTACCCCATGGGCTCTTAAACATGTGGGATGAAGTCTTTTTACAAAGTTGGCTACAGAAAATGTTTAGAATACTCAAGTACCTGATGATTCCGTCCATCTGTACGGTGGACAAACGAGCCCGCATGGACGTGTGCTTTGTCACAGTCAGAATGCCATCTTCAGTCTGCTATGAAGAAACTCCTTCAGTCTATGCATTCGATACAACATTCAGGAATAAAGCATTAAAATTGTCAGCAATACAAAACTTTAACCTCTTCAGATTTTTTTTGAATGCTACGGCCTCCTCCTTTGATTGCTGGACATACAAAAAAAAAGTACTATAAACAAAAACCAGATAAATAGGTTCATGTCTGCATCGTTTCTTAGTACAAAACCTACGAGTTCACTGGCTAAGAGCCTGCTGGAAATCCTTGATGAGGAGTTCATTTAAAATTGCACTCTCTTCTTAATTTTTTTAATCTATTACTGATGTCATAATTCAAGTATTCTAAAAGAGAGGGAAATTAAAAAAGCAATTATTTTTCAGTATTTTGTTTTGCAAGCTGTTCTTATTACATGGATAAAAAGAAAAAACCTACCTGGCGTTTCCCAAAATATATGAGTAGTTTTACGTTCTCTTTACTTAAAGGAAAAAATTTCAAAGGAATGTCAGTATCACATTTGATAACTATTTTAGAAATAAGCACAGTACATTACCTGTAACTTTAAAGGGTTAGTCAAAGAAAGCCCCAATACTCTCCCCTCAATAGTCTGATAAATATACCTCAAGTAACCTGTTTACTGGAAATGTTATTACATATTAATTAGTGAATCATGTCATTAAAAGTATCAGGCAGGTTTACACAAACTTTCCTAAACACCATAAATGAAAAGCAAACTCCAAAAATATTGGAGTGCAAGAGATGCGTTTTATTGTATGCCCGTTACGATGAGTAACACATTTAGAAATAATAATCCCACATAACAGTGACAATCTTATTTTACAGCGTGTACATCATTTTTTACAGCCACATAAAACACGTATTTTTCTAAGAGATTTCCCAAATTTAACTTTCTGAAGTTTAGAAATATAAAAAAAATTTATTCTCAAGGAACTGATTCTCATCTGGTGCAAAAACAAAATATGAACATTATCTGAAACACAAAGCCACAATATAGCATGAAGTTACAATTTATCATGTGAACAGCGGTGTGCAAACATGAAGCAACTAAAAGTAAAAAATACACATTATATGCGTAACATTTATGAACAGGTTTTTCATTAAATAGCCCTAGACCAGCTTGTTATATTAAGCGCCATTTGATTTGCAGCATGCTAACACAAAGCATTGTTTAAAGGGATGCATATTTTAAATGTATACACTGTAAACTGAAGATCCACCTCCAAACTCTAGTGGCAGCATATTTTTCAGGTTAAATACTGCATATATACTTTCTTACAGATCGAAAATGCACGTTTATAGTATGGTATAGATTTTTTTAAAGAATTGATTAAAAGGTGCGATTTTATGTCTATACTGAAAATTTCATATTAGGAGGTAGGACAATAATAGTCATACCTGTTACGAACACTGCCCTAAAGAACTTCTAAGTACTCTGAATTTTAATTAAAAAAACCTTACATTTTTCAACTTTGTTTTTAATATTCTTTTTAGAGAAGATTTTAAAGTAGCGAGAAAAAAATCAGTGTTGAGTCACAACACTGAGCTGCATCCATTTTATCCTTAAAAAAAAAAGTCAAATTCAAAGTTAATTTTGTTATATGTGCCATACTGAACAACATTCAACTGTAGTTTCAGATAAAAAAGGGAAATTATATACATACACATCTTTAACCCTAGCACCAGAACACCACCTTTGAGATCATAACATAATGCTATATTTTAAACATCATATCCTGCAATAAAATAGGTTAGCAGCTTTGAAAACCATTAAAAAAAAATTACTTGTTGGACCTAAACTAATAAAGGAAACGAAAAAGTTTCCCAATGAAATGTTTTTAAAAAATAATAATAATAAAAAAAAAAAAAAAAAGAAAAAGGGACAATCCCCCAAAATTTGACCAGTTCTGGAATTTAATTTCCAGGTACGAATAAAAAACATTATGATCAAGTGACTGACTAATACTCTCCTTTCAAAACTGCACAAGAAGTCAGACTCAGTTGCCTTTGCAAACAATTTGTAAATAACCCCACCACACACCTGAACCCTTTTCATATTGGAGACAAATGCTGTTACTGACAAATGGATAACACAATCATCTTCGTTTTGTCTTCTATAGCTTAACAATATGTAACACTATTAATTTGAAGACATTCATTCATCTTTCTGCAAATTTAAGACATTCATCCATCCTTCTGCATTCTATAGTGCTCTTCAGGTTCTGATAAGCAACAATCATAGGGCTATGAGATCCCCTGTCAACCCTAATACTTTTAAGACTTTTAATACAAAGAATGTAAAGTTATGATTTAATATCAAGCTTTGAAACCAGGAGAAACAGTTCATGAGATTTTTTTTTCCCCAATTAGCATATCACAGTTTCTAAATTGCTTCCTTCTTGAGATCATATATTACATTATGGCCTCTTTGTGGTGCCTCATTATATGCTGATTTTTTTCAGATGGTCTACGGAATCCCTTTTTGCAATACTCACACCTATGTGGATAGTCTTTTGTGTGTATTGATATTACATGTCGTTTAAAGCCTGATGCATCCGTAGTGCTATAGTCACAATACTGGCATTGATAAACTTTTCTTCCACTGTGGGTCTTCATGTGCTTCTTAAGTTCATTTTGCTGCCTAAATCCTCTTTTACATCTTTTGCATTTAAAAGGCAGGTCCTTGGTGTGAACTGAGAGGATATGCCCACTAAGTACAAAAGGATCTGACGTTTTAAAGTCACAGTGTCTACACTGGTGTATCTTTTTACCTTTATGGGTTTCACTATGCTTTTTGAGCTCAGATGGACGATGGAAGCCTTTTTCACATACCTCGCATTTGTGGGGAAAATCCTTTGTGTGAACTGAAATAATGTGTCGCTTCAGGTCACTCGAATTGGTGCTCTTATGGTCACAATGTGGACACTGATGAGTCTTATGCCCTTGAAATAATTCTGTGTGCTGCTGTAGTTCTTTTTCATCTGTAAACGCCTGGGGACAGTGCTCACATTTAAATGGCAAATCAGTCCCGTGTTTGGTTTTGATGTGAGTTTTCAGATTGGACTGATCAGCGCACCTGAAGACACAGTGCTGACACTGGTATGGCTTTTCCCCAGTGTGGGTCCTCATATGCTTTTTCAGCTCTGACGGGTGACGGAATCCTTTCCCACACTCCACACACACATGGGGGAAGTTCTTACTGTGAACTGCAAGTAGGTGTCTATTGAGTAGTCCCTGCTCTGCAGTTTCATAGTCACAATATTTGCACTTGTGTAGCTTGGGCTCCTTGTCCCTCAGTATTAGTTTATTAGAACTCAACGGGCTCGCTTCTCTGTATCTTCTTGTATATTCTGTAAACTCATGGGTTTTATCAACTTTATTTATAAGTTTATGGCTTTCCAGATGATTGTGGAAACTTACTTTTTTGTTAGTTGTAAAGTCACAGTCTGTACACTGGTATTTCTTCTTAATCATATGATCTGGATGATTCTTCATATGCCTTTTCAAGAATCCTCTGGATTTAAATTTTTTCCCACAAATATGACAAGGGTAAACTGTTAAGGGCTGTCCATCAGGACCTATTATAACAGCTGTTTTTAAACAAACAAAAACAAGTTATGAAGGAAACAAATTTACCGATTAAGAAGTTTTAAATCAGCCAACTGCTGTTCAGATTTCATGCACTTCCCACTTGCAGCAGACAGAGAATGGTTCAGTAGTTTAAAAACAACCAATCCACAGCACCTATAGTTTACATAGTTTTGTTTTAGAAACTGCTCAAACAGATCAGTAATGTCACATCTGCAGTGAACATATCCATGATTACTTTCTAATAGTTTGCAAAATTCAAATGAATTGCATCAGCCCTAAGTGTACTGACTCTGAATAGCAAAAATTACTACATT